CGTATAAACTATCCGGTTTGGTGCCCCCGAAGATCGGATCTGTTGGGGCCCAAAGAGTGTGCCCCATAGAAGGTAAAGGTTTATCGGTACGTCAGATCCCGACGCGCATTACTCCGGAAACTCCCTTGGATTTTCATTCGTCTATCAGTCCCCGGTAAACCCTTGAAATTCCGTCACCACTAACTTTTCTGATTTTTTTTTCACCAATAAATTGTTATTACATCAATAAGTTAGGTTAATTACTTTAACTTTTCTTCACATTCGATTTAGTTATCGTTTTTACGGGTGTTCTACACCTGTATGTAATTAAAATTATCGTTTTTTTAATTTTTCTGACAAATTTAGTATGGGATTGACGTGAAAAAATATAAAGTCTCATCGTTCTGTCATTATTGAATGACTCACGAAGTTTTCTAAGGTGGCTCCCATTTCTCTGTGTATTTTTTACACTTAAAAAAATAATGAGAAAACTGTAAAGAAAATGCGGGAAATGATCGAACCGCAAGAAAAGTTTTGAACCATTAAATAATGACAAAACTCAAAAACGTTAAATTATTTTAGATTACTATATGTGTGTGGAACATCCCTCGATAATGCAACCCTTAAAGAAAGCCAAAAATAACCAATTAAATAAAATATTCGCTCCCCCAAAAATGTCTATCCCCATTATTCACGCGCCCCTAAAAAAATCCACGTAAAACCGTCCAGAGGCGCAAATATTCCTTATTAATCATGGCGCAAGTGCAGGCGAGTATAATTGCTAATTAGTTGACGTAATACCGGTAACGAAGCATCTTTTCGTAGTTTATCCCCTTGCGAATCTCTTCCACGATATTCTCTCGCTCTCGGTTCGCTTCCTCGTTTGCCTCATGAACGCCTTTATTCCGCGTTCTATAATTTTTTTCATTTTTTTTTTTGGATTGAATAAAGGGCAAAAAGCGAACTCAGTAGGAGGAAAAAGAAAGGGGCGAACAAAAATAAAAAGAGGAAAAATAAATAAATAAAAAATGAAAACAGTGTCACGGGGACTGAGAAAAAGCGAGCAGAGGCTAAAGCAAGTACAGGGGGTGACGCTCGACGTCTCTCGCCAGCGTATAAATAGGAAAATTATGGTTATCGTCGTAACGTCCCACGCGTCGGCGTAGCCAGCAATTGTCCACCCCGTTGACACGTTGAATATATACACGCACTTGCGTAATAAACATTGTAAAATTGCTCCTGCTGTGTGTTTTTATTTTCGTTCGATCGTCCTGGGCAAAGGTAATCCCGGATATTTCGTGGAAGAATTAGAGAAAAAGAGAGAAAAAAAAAAAAAACGTTAATATTGTGTTTGAGTTTATCAGTACGTGGTAGTTCCTTGTCTTATCAGTTAACCCTCCTAGCTCTTTTATCTCGAGTGTATTTTCATTGCTGATGTTTATTCTTTCGTGCTTTTCCGAAGGAGGGAAGGAATCGGGGAATGGCTGTTGTTTTTTTTTATTCGTTTCCTTTTTCTTTTTCAGTGAGAAGGAGACAACAGAGATGCGGACAAATTCAACTGGTTCAATGAAAATTTGTCATTTTGGGCGGAGACTTAGTCTGGTGATGTGGGTGAGGATTTTTTTGGTTTTGTAAGTTGAAATTTTTGGGGGGTAGTCATGGATTTTTGAACAATTAGTGGAGACAATGGTTGGAATGGAAATAATAAATTGGAATTTGGGATTAATAGTAGTTAGCCGCTCCTTCATTCAAAATCAAGATATTCATCAGTATTTTAAATTTAACTTCGTCTTCCTATTCACGCGTTAAAACGAAAGAGGCAAAGGGTCAGCTTTCACGGACCCGAGGGGATAAATCCCGGGGCCTCGTGGCTCGTTCTGACCATCAGTAAACCGCGTGTCTCGAAGACGAGGTAGAAGGATGAGAAAAAAAAAAGAGAGAAGATCCCTGAAATGATCGACGATTCCTGAGTACCTACATTCAGCCGAGCCCCAGAGACGATTCCCTGCTGGAGACACCAGTGTCTCTCAAACAATTTCCTACAACCGCTTCCTCATCTCACTCGAATTATTCTCAAGGACCTGTTACATCACACTACGCTACAAATATTGAAGGTCAATGACAAGATAATCGAGAACAAAGTACATAAAAAAATGACGCGCATTCCCCGAAGAACTCGCAATCGCGTCAATTAAATTCAGTATCTCGGGTTAAAAAGAAATTACGACTGAGGGACTAGAAAATTTGGAAATCACGGGGAAATCGTGGAAATTGCGGGATTTTCGATTGGTACATTGTGTTTAAAGTGATGATTGATTTTAAAAACACGTAACGAATTCTTCTCCTTGGAAGTTTAATGCATTATTCGTTTGTTTATCGACTTAAATATCCGTGAAAATGATGAAAAATCTGGAGAATTCCGGAGGAAATTAAAAATAAAAATCATCTTACTCCTGAATACCCATGCTCCATCGGAAATTCTACACTGAGAAAAGAAATGACTGATGCCAAGTAAATTTACTAACAGCAAAAAAAATTCACATATTTCAAACGCAAATATTTGCATACATGCACTTGTAGCAAGTAGATTTACGTGACAGAAAACTCATGAATTTCCTTGAATTCACCAGAATTTTCATACCCATTTCCCCCTGAATCCGATTTGCTATAACTCTCACGAGTATTCCTTTCCTATTTTTCCTGAAACCATTTAAATCCCAACACTCCGCTATTTTCTATCAAGGAAACCGGCAGAAATCATTAAAAACCAGAGATAAAAATTTGGCAAATCCTTGAAATCGACGTAAAAAAAAAAATGACAACAAAACATGATCATCCTCCGCGGTTCAAAGGACCACCAAACGATAAAATGGCAACAATAAAACCGTCTGAATCATTAATACATCCAAGACGTAAATAAATAAATCATTGTCAGACATTCATTGTTGAAGTGGAAAGGATGAGTACAGTTGGTTTGTGAGATTAGAGGCATCGCGTAAGCCAAAATAGGGTACTTTGAGAGTTCTATAGAGAGTACATAGTTCAAGTCGCGAAGTGGGGGAGGGGGAATAAATGGCAAGCCACGATTGGTGGAATTTTTGGCGAAGCTCGAGTCTCGATTGGTGGAAACCGGTTCTCCTTGGCACAAAGGGAAAGAGAGGTATCCTAAAACGAATGTGCAAGGCTTTTTCGGTGGCTCTCCTTCCTTCTTCCTCGTTCACATTTCACAACCACTTTGATCCTCTTCCCCTCTATCCCCCCCCACCTCCCCATCATCCTGACCCATCCTCCCCCTCACCCTCCCCTATCCCATTAGAGAAACATCCAGCCGAAACTTTTGGGCCTGCAGGTACCTGGGACTAACCAGGCCCTTGTCTCACTGCGATTTTAGTTGGCACTAAAATTCCACGTTTCATACTATTTGTTAACGGGAAAATGGTAAAATTGAGTTTAGAAAAAGAGGGCGAGGTAGTGGAAACACATGAGACCCTGAGTAATTCAGTTTTCAATGGATGACACGGGACTGCGGTTTCGAAAAGTTGGGAAAATGTGTTTAGTTACATGTTTACATGGATCTCCTTTTAGCGTTGAGACTTGCTTCGATTTTTTGGTGAATTTCAACGGTTAATGTTTCTTGGAAAATAATTCACTTGATTTGTAATGCTCTTTTGTGGGGAAACTAGGTTGTGGTGATATCTTTTTGAAACGAGAATTCTTAATATGACGTTCTACAACTGCTATTTTCAGAGTCAACGAAATTTGCGAGGGAAATTCTAGGGAGCATAGTCGTCTTAAAAGCCAGTCAACTTGAAATATAAATGGAATATCGATTGGAGTGGGTGGGGGGGTTTAGGAGATATCTCGGTGGGGGAGGTATTTCGTTTTATCGTGATTATCATTATCACGATTTTAAATGTTAGCTCTGAGCGGTGATTGTTTCGGGATATTGGGAAAATAATGGTTATCTCGTCTTCATGATAATAGAAGTTCGAAAGTTCATGGGTTTTTCCAGTTTTCGATAGTGCGCAATTCTTTTAAAAAATTTTAAAGGTATTTATGGAAACGTTATGATGAAATTTACGGAGACTCATTGTTAAATTTCCTGAGGAGTTTTCATGTGAGTACCGGCAGAAATTCGATAATTCGTTGTCATCGATTTCTCTTTGTGGAGGGATTCACATTGTTCCAAAGAAATTAACTGCTTCCCGCATAAATTTCGAAATCAGAACGGTCTTTTTGTCTTTATTACGTAAATTTTCTAAATCAACTTGAATTTTTAATGACCCTGAAAATTTTATGCGATTTCTATTGAATAGTTTTCTATAATAACGTTATTTTTATTTTTTATTCTGTGTAGTTTCGAAAATAGCGTAAAAAAATCGAGAAAAGTATCCGTCCCTTCGATAAATCCCGATGGAATATTCGAAATTCACTGAGAACACCAGTTTCAAATTCTGGGCAGGAGTTAAAAAACAATTCACCGAGAAAATTATCAATTTCAAGTTCCCGAAGACAAAGAAAGTCGATTTACCCCAGAAGTTTTCAAGACCCTGACAATTTTTTATCGCAACACGTGCGACGACAGTCGTGGGAAAATATTTTTTGACAGAGGACGAAATTTCCGTGACTTCTCAAGACACCAGTTGCAGACACATCACCTCAAAGGCCCATGTCGTTCAATTTTTCATGAAAATTCATGCGCCCAACATCACACGAGGTACCAGAGCAAAAAATTCCCATATCTCTTCCCCACCTGACGTTAAAAATCTCCCGAGAAAAATCGATGGAAAATTCGTTAAATTTCCCCCACCACATACCGAAAAAAAAACAATCCAATCAATTCCATAAAAATAATTGTACGTTCCTTCAGACGTAATTACGTACGAACAGTCGACCCTTTGTTCTTTCCAGTACTTCCCCCGCCATTAAACGCAGTGACACTTTAAAAACTTGAAAAAATAAAAAAATCAAGGAACCCCCTGAGGTACTCCCCAGAAATCCATGGAAAAATGCACGCTTACCTGCAATAAAACAGAACTCCACTGTGATGACTAGGCGAATGACCCCTCGACACGGGGTGACGATATCATCCCGTTTTCGTACTTCACCAGGAAAACGCGTATCCTCCGTTCACCATAACAAAGCCACACCACGAGAAAAAGAAAATGACAAAAACAGCCAATAGCCAAGGCGTATAAATTCCGTGTCAAAAGAAACACCACTCGTAAACAAGAAAAAAACACTCGGGAAAAACTTCCCGGTCGTTCACTGGCCCACCGTCGGCCTACATGTTGGCCATTGTTGCTGCCAGCATTTTCACTAAAAAACAACTAACCGTCAAAAGTCCTCAAGCACTTTTAACGCACTGTGATTTCGATATTATTGACCACTGGAGCATAATCATGCTCGATATATCCCTGTTCGTGAGTTATCGCGGTTTTTCAACACTTATTTTCACCATTAGACACGTTAAACTCGTTGGAATAACTCGAGGATGACGAGTCAACGTATTTTTTTGAGGGATAACTGGTGGATTTGGGCTCCAGGGTGATGGAGAAATTCAACTCCGGCGGTTGGGCTTCGGTTATATTCCCTTTAACTCTGGGGCGCCGGCCGGTTGTACAGCTTAAAGGCGTTGTAACACAAGCACTACACCTCACATATCCCCACTTAAATCGAGGAAAACCGATGTATCGATTAAACCGTTTGAATATTCCAATGGTGATATCGATATTCCCCGTGGAATCATTCACTGAACGATTATTCACAAACAAAAAAATCACTCGGTTTAACAGCCGACGGCTGACAACTGTTCTCTCTTCACTCACACTCTGGTCTGTAGCACAAGAAATTTTAATTTGAAAAATTTTCTTAATCACTTCGACGTATTCACGGCGTCACGCTCACTGGAATCCTATCGTGACACTGGTGTACGTGCGTGCAACTTCCGGTTTTAATTTGTATGATCGGTTTGCGGAACGGAGTAACATGTTCACCGTCCGACGGCTCAATTGCGACTGCAATGAGACGATCGTACCCTCGGCTGCTTCCCCACTACTCGCTTCTCACCGCTCGGCCACGCCCATCTGGCGCTCGGGTAGGCTTTGGCCACACCCAGCTACTACTGCTTTCGTTCAGTCAAACACCTGCCTCGGGTTTTTCAACTCCACCCTCATTACGCATTTCGAAATTATTTTGTCAATTATGTTTTTCGTCGGATAAATTTCGCATTTTTAAAATTAGTAATTTGGGAGGGGTTAATGCAGCTTTTTTCTGGGGGAGGGGGTGATTTTTGCGATGAACTTTTAATGAAATTCGAATTTTCAGGCACGCGGAGAGAATTTTCTGGGGGGTTTATCATGATGATCAGGAATTCAAGAATTTTGTACCAAAAAATTTGGGTGACAATCACATCATTTTGGTGAGAACATGCGATACATTTTTTTACGCCGATTATATTTATATTTTTTTTTCTACGCCGATTTTCTGAGAACAATTTATAAATTGATACTGGCACGCGCGTTGAGTTAGTCTCAGGTTAAATTTTATTAGTAATTTTTCTCCGTGTACATTGTAAGAGAAATTTAGGAAAACGCGAAAGATCTTGCGCGGTGTTTCTGCGAATTCTATTTTTACTGCGATATTTTGAATTTTTTGTTGTTGAATTCATGATCACTCATCGTAAAAAAATGAATTTTCTGGAATCGTCGAGACTAATGAGAATTTTCAATGGGACGAATTCACGTAATCACGTAATTGAATACTCATTGCGGAATCGTTCTCCGGAATTTTTTATAGGAATAAAAGAGAAGAAATCTGATGCATCCATTGAAATCTCAGGTTTATCAATCAACTAAAGAGGAATTTGAGAGTGAATTTGTTCCGTGCTATTTTTTCCGATTAAATAAAATTATCTTATGGCTCAAAAATAAAAAAATTACGAGCATTCCACAATTTTAATCAAATTCACGAGTCATTTTCCCACTGTGACCCGAAAAATTTCTGAATCTTCAGTGAAAATTAAACAACGACGTCTTTTTCATTCCAATTGTTTCAGTTCTGATTCTGTCGTAATGATTAGTTGAGAATGTAGATTATTGATCCTGCAGCACAGGTTCGCTGTCAATTATTCATATCAGCTCATGGTTATTCATATCAGACTGGTGATTAATAAATAAATTTAAAGCATTGAACTATTCTTGGGATTGCATTTAAAATCTTTCGCGAGCTGTACCCTGTATAATAATAATAATTAGCTCATATAGCTTTCGTTGTCAATTATTTATCGAATTATATATTCCAATTCATGCAATAATCATTATTTCACGATAATGGATCGAATATTTATTCCCCTTAAAAATGATATTCCGCGATTTTACGCAAGCGCTTAAATTATTGATCAAGTAGCAATCATCACGGAATGATGTACCATTAAATATTCATTGTAACTCATGGAATACTAAATTCCCCATAAATCTGAAGCATTGAATTCAATCCGATCGAGAGTAGAATTCGATCCAAAACCATACGAGAATATTCAGAGAATTCATTTCATACTTATAAATAATTCTCGATTAGTCTTCCTATCAATCATTCAGTTTCGTTTGCAAGATCATTATAAAAATAAACTGAACAATGCGATAAAAATACGAATATTCTATTAAAGATTTTTTATCTAGAATTTCGGTTTCACCAACATTTTTACAGCAGCCTAAGGCAATCTTTTCGTTTTTCCGCGACAGGGAATTTTTCAGGGTCTCAAAAAATAAATCTGTTTTCTATCATTTTCTTGCAATTTTTCTTCTGTTTAGTAACCGTCAAGATGTTTTATTAAAATGTACAATTTACCTTGAATTTCCTCAGAAATTATTCCAGTGAACGTGAATGAATGCTCAATAGTGCATATCATTTGTTTGTAATAGGAAGGGATTTTTTGCTGAACACGTGTGGCTGCAAAATCCCCTCCCAATGCGGGAAATTTCACTGTACAAGAGTGCATCCGTTGATGCATTTTCCTTTTGCCAAACCAATCGTAAAAAATCCTGCAAAACCATTTTTTTTATTGAGTGACATTTCACTCCACAATTACCTTTGGCACAATGGAAAAAAAAACAATTATGTACCCCCAGGAAGTCACAAAAGCCGTGAATAAAAGTAGTGTACTTTGATACCTTTCAAGTACGATTGTTACCCCGAGTCCACTGTCCTGAAACGACTCTTAAAATTTCAAATAAAAAAAATTCAAATGATTCACAACCTTGTCATGAACTTCATCAGCAATTCCACTGAAAAATCAGGTACTACCTGCCTGGAAACAATGGCTTCATAAATTAAATTAAATAAATTCCTAGCTACATAGCAATTCCCCTCAATCACCAGCTGTAGCGAAACCCCCAAAAAGTGGATAGAACACCAATTTCCGAATTTCCCTCCATCGATCCAAACTAAAACTACTTTTTTGCTAATAACAATTCTCAATCCACAAAACTATCCACTCGAATCTAATAAAAAAAAACGCATCGACTACATATTCTCTGAATAAAAAGATTAACGGTAAAACCTTGCGTAATGATTTCTCAAATGATCCCACAGTAATACTCAGCGAACACCCGTTTTGTTCCACAGAAAAAATATTCCATTTGTTCGCAATATCCTCACGTACGGTAATCCCCTCGCCAACAACTAAAGCCGAGAAAACCCTATAATTAACCCCGATTAGACCCCGAAGAAACATATCAAACCGACAAGGAAACATTGAATATTTTCCTCGAAACCGGCGCACGTACACGAATAAATATAAAACAACGACTTCTAATCGCAATGCGTGAAGCATGATTATTAATGACTAGTGAGTGGTTGCAGACCTCGTGTTAAGCCAACTGCCATTTATTAATCGGTAAAGGCCAACCGCGGGATTCTATCTAGTTTTGTCTTCTGCCCACGCAAGAAGTGGCATTTTTTTTTCACTCCTGTCATCTCGACGGTATTAATACCGCGATTTACACGGATTTTTCATGGCCGAGGGGAAAATACTCGAGTCACACGTGCTAACGAAAAATCATCGACTCCATAACATTCTCCCCACCTCTGGCTGTATATAATGACACCAACGAGATCATTCTTTTTACGAAAACCGAAACATCAAGTCTTCGCATTCTACACGGGATTTGAGGGGTAAGAGGGGAATCACTGGGTGGAGCTAACGTGGATCGATGGGATGGCGTCTTTATGGTCACCGCCCACATTCGGCAGAAAGATATCAACGCGCCTTTTGAATTACCAACAAAACGCCATCTTCAATGCGCCCGTACACAAGATTTCAACCCATTTCCGCTGTTAAAAAATATACTGGCTTAATTGGTGGTCCCAAAAATCGAGGGTTTAGCGGTTTTTTTTTATGGGTTTTTTTGAGGTTTTAATTATCCGGAAAAATTTCTATTGCAGTTGAGGCCCGTGAGACGTGGGTGTAGAATAAATTATTTTTTTAATTGTTCTTCGTTGTTTTTCTTTGTCTCGTTGTTTTCGAGCGGAATACTAATAGTTGTTGGGGATTGAGGGATTTATCTCGTTTTTATGGCCGTTCAAAAGTGAATGACTGTGAATCAGTTCTTTGTTCGTTTTATCTCGATTGTTTATCTTTTGTTTGGAGCTGTGTGTTATTGGTGGTGTCGGTTTGGAGCAATGTTTTTTAAAGGGTATTTAATCGTCTCGAATTTTTTTTTCGGGAAAAAAAAATTAATAAATTGCCGTAACCCGGAATCGAACCGAGGACATTTACATCTTCAGGCTAATGCTCTCCCATGTGAGCTATTTCAGTTTTAGGATGAGTTATTTCGAGGCGCGACTTGAACTTGCGGATATGACTGTAAACAAAAATTTCTGAATTGAATGTACTCCCCGCGTAATCAGGGGTGAGCCAGTCCGATGGAATTCGATTGATCAATTGCTCTTTGTGAATTATCGACACGTCCGTTCGACTTTCATTGCTCCGGTGAGTCACAATGGCGTGCGAAATTGTCGCGAGTGCAAGTTGAATTGCCAATTTTTGAGAGTGCACAGTAAAATAGTATTCTTCAATTTTTAAGTGGGTTTTAGAGATTATCAGGTTTGTTAGGTGAGTCAGAGTTGTTCAATGCACTTATAAATCAAGCTCATATCGAAATGGTAGGGGAAATATATTGTTTTAATATGTCAAATTCGATATTGAAGTTTATGTTGATAATTCCATGGAACTGAATTAATTAAATAGTTTTGTTGAGGTGTCATTACAGTTGGATACTACGAATTTTTTCACAATTTTTGAGGTAAATGTTCATGTTTGAAGTGAATTTTGACACATAACCTGTATTTTTTGTTGCAAATAATAATCATGATCTTTTCACGTCATCCCCTGGTAGAACAGTATGAATTATTGATACGCCCTCCATTAAAATAATCTATCAACTCCTAAAATTCAGCTTGTCACAATAATAATAACATCCACTAAAAAAAAAAACTTTCAATTTTTCTTCAGCAAAAACTATCAACAATCATCGTTGAAACAGGATCAAAAATTTATATTTTTCTTTTAAAGTGGAAAACAACGGTTCCTGGGAATGGTTTTCCCTTAATGATAGGGCCCTAAAGCGATTAAAATCCTCTTGTCCGCAGAAACAATAAAGATGCAGCAGGCAATGCTACGGTGCAATGGCATTCCGACCCACATAATAACTGAAGGCCGTTGGGTTGAAGAGGGTCTATTACCAGACGGCCACAGAGACATTATCCTAGTGATCCCTGGTAATCCCGGCATTCCAGCTTTTTACACTGGTTTCATAAAAGCCTTGAAATCATGTTTACCTACTGAGACACCAGTGTGGGTGATGGGCCATGCAGGACACGTACTACCACCCAAGACCTTGAGCTTTCCATCAGAACAGGATTCAATGGATCGTGCCTTTTCCCTGCAGGGCCAGGTCGAGCACAAGGTTGGGTGTCCACAGTATGAAATCCAAATTGCTCACTAAATTTATGGGACTCATTGCAGGTGGCGTTTGTTAAAGAGTACATTCCAAAAGATGCTAGGGTGCATCTCGTGGGACATTCCATTGGTGCTTGGTTCATCCTTCAATTGTTGGGTGATGAGGAATTCGTTAAAAAAGTTGTGAAATGTTATTTGTTATTCCCCACCATCGAAAATATGGCTGAGACGAAGAGTGGCATTTTTTTTTCTAATATCGTGAGTAATTATTTAAAAATCTTTGTTATGATTTACAAAAAAATTCGCAAAATAAAGTCTTTAGTAGATCTACAGAGCTTTCTCAAGAAATTATCTATGTTTATTGCAGTTACTGAGAATTGCTCCACTGTTGTATTTTCTCGCCTGGATCTTCACATTCTTCCCAAAAATTTTGCGAGAATTCCTCGTGAGAGTCTTCGGAATTCTATTCGTGGGCTTTGGAAGTCAGTCTGTGCAGCCTATGCTCCAGTTGATCGAGCCAGAAGTACTCAAACGAGTTTTTCTCATGGGAAAAGAGGAGATGCACCAAGTGCGAGAGCTAGACCACAGAATAATCTCGAAATATAGTGATAAATTATGGCTGTACTACGGAGCAACTGATGGTTGGGTCCCAGTGCGATACTACGACCGTCTCAAGGCGAGACATCCTGAAGTTGAGGCTCACCTCTGCAAACGAGGATTTCGACACGCATTCGTTCTCTCAAATGAGAAAGACGTTGGAAAAATGGTCGGAGACCTTATAAATGAGAGTATTAATTAGTGAACTTTGAGAGCAGCTAGAATAATTGATAAACACTGCATTTAATTTTGATAAATAAATTGTTGGATCCCCATTAGTTGTTGAAAAAAATGAAATATCTTTATTGAATATACCGATTGGAACCCCTCGTCTTCCAGGACAGTGAACATTTTACGTGACTAATTCTAAATTTTCTGCTTGTCCTTTTTGGCCTGCTCGGCAAGTGCCTCCAATCTATCGTGCTCTTTTATCAGGGCTGTCACCTCAGCTGCTGACAAAATTCTCGTTATGGTTTTGCCATTCTCTCGAGTTAATGTCGCCATTTCCACTAAACGAACAGGAAAGTATTAATTCATCAATAATTCATTCAGCTTGAAAAACGATAGAAGGACGATATAATTATTATTGTCAATTATGATTTGTCTCCCAGTTAATTTTTTCACCTAAAATAGATTTTGAAAATGTCTAAAAAATTCAAGAATATTCTTGCATCCAATATAATGAACGAAATGAGTCTTTTTTTTTTAGGAAATGCTCTCTTTTGTGTGTATTATTATCCACCTCATTAAAAACAAAAGTATCAGATTAAACCCATAAATATTTTGAATTGGACACCAATTTGTTAATTGGCTTTAATTTCTGGTTTAACTTGTATTGAAATAAATATATTGCCGATCCATTTGAAGATTTATTGTTTCCACTTTTTTATTGGAAGTGGTAAAATATTTCAGAGAAGGAAGAGAGGTTTAAAAACTCAAATTTTAGCCTTATTTTATTATTATTTACCTTTCTCAGCTGTGAGTTTAGTCATATCAAGAGTCTTAGAGAGAACCTTGATGGCAAGTGCCTGAGCATCCTTGAGGGTAGTCTCTCCCTCCTTGTACTCCTGCTTTAACGAGGAAATAGCAGCAGCTGAATTATTCCCAATGCAAGTGGCCTTCCACCCTCCATAATTGCCACTGGGGTCAGACTGATACAGTTGATAGCCGTAGTGTCTGTCCCAGCCCATGTACAGGATGGATACACCGAATGGTCTTTTACCACCGAATTGAGTGTACGCCTGTTTGACATCACACAGCCAGGAGACGAGCTGCTCGCAGGGAATAGTTTCTCCGTACTGCAGAAGGTACCTCTGGCCAATGAGACGAAGCTCATTCGTCAAGACGTTGGCATCGGATGTGATTCCAGCCACTGAGCACACCACGTCCTCATTCAGTTTGTAGATTTTCTCGGAGAAGAACACTTCGTCCAGGAGTTTGTTGGTGTTCCTCCTCTCAGCTGCCAGGAGGATGCCATCATTCGCTAGGATACCTGAGTAGATATTTTTATTGAAGTTACTAAGGTAATGAACGGATAATTACTGCTGGTATAATTGTTTTTAAATATTGCGTATCTCTTCCAATCCTGAATTATAAATCAACTGAAAATAATATTCATTAATAATAAATAAATAAATATTGAGTCTCAACGACTGCATTGACGTAGCAATATTAAAATTTTGGTTTCGCCATAATCCCAGGAGGCGATTAGGGATCTTTGAGGGAGGAAGGCGACTTTTTCTCAAAAATGAATTTATTCATCCACAGGTGATTTCATATACATTCAACTCGTAAACAATAATTAAACATTAAAAGATCGGTGGGAATGAGAATTGATTAATTTGCATAATCATACCTAGACAAGTTCCTGCGTGACTTATAGCCTCCATGGCGTACTCCACTTGGTACAGACGACCTTCTGGAGAGAAGATTGTTGTTCTGGTGTCATATCTACGTGCCTGAAAATCGTTAACGATTTTTTCTTCATGAAGCTGAGTCTTAAGAATACTATTGAAAAATTAACTTATCAAAAAATGACAGATCTTAAGAATCATACATTCTATGACATTCAATTATATGCCAGGCCATTTTTTTTCTACAAATTTCATATTCCCCAAAATTACTGGAATGTCTCCAGGAACAGAAACGATTATTTAACCATTTCTTTGATTTCTCTGGATTATTTCCTGAATATCATTTATTCAGAAGGGAAAATACACCTCGATGACAATGCATTTCCATCATAACCTAACTCTTTTCCCAAAAATACAACCATCTGTACAAATTCCTCCGGAATGATCTCCTGAGAACAGTTTGATACTCGATAAAATTGGTTAACAACTTACCATTCTATTTGTGGATGGGAAAACCGCTGTAAAAACTTATCAATAATTATTTGAATGGAGAGAAATAATGCGGTAAACCGATTCGGTAAACTTGTTGCCGCTGTCTCTGTCTTGTGAAAATTTAAAGCTTCATCTTTATGACATTCTGTCCTCTCTGTCATGAATGCGGACAGCAAAGAGGATTGGCTAAAGTAGAGGCTCAGTTCTGGGGGTTGGAGTGACCTCAGCGGCATCGTAGTACTGCATCCCAAGAGAAGGAGGACGCCACACACAATGGGGTGTCTGCTCGTCAACCGACTCGGTAACTGCCTCAGTAACAGTCCGCTATCAGAGGGACCAGTTGACAGGGTGAATGTTATTTTCTGCGTTACGAAATTGATATTCACTGAAATTTAACAATTTTATGGAGTCACTTGAATTTTTTGCCCCCATGTGACCCTTAATCAAGTCCAACCCCCAGAACTGAGTCTCTACTTTAGTCAATCGTCTTTGGCGGACAGCTCGGACAGTTCCAATGTTTTTTAACCTCCAAAAATAGCATCATGGAGACAGTGCAGTATAACTCGATAACGTAAACAATTTTAAAGAGTCAGGCTTTTATATGGAATAGTGAATTTATGGTTCTTGAGAGGAAGATGGAGGAGAATAAGGTGGCAACGGTTGTCCTGGTGAATGAGAGCAAAGTCTTGAATATCACCTTCTCACCAGGATGGACTGTTGAGGATTTGTGCATAAAGGTAACATCCAGGAATTTTATGGATTCTCGATGTCTCTAGAATTTTTATCGTAAATATTTTTTTTTTTAATTCAGAAAACGTTCTAGTCATAGATAAGCATCTTTCAAGATTATTTCTAGTTCAGTTTTTATGTAGAGAAGAAATATGATAAATCAATCCTACTTGAGCTCCTGATATCGTCGAATACCAAGATATTGATTGAGATAGCGAAACTTTTGTGAAAAAATTTTTGCAGCACTGATTTCAATCGAAGACTATGGATTCAAAATAAAAACATTAATTGGTTTTTTCATAGCTGATTCAATTCTGGACAAAAGTTTTTTAATTTTTTTTTCAGGTATGCAAAACACTTGAGATAGGACCAGTTGCCAGACACCTCTTCGCCCTCCGTAATCGTTCAACGCGCCTGTGGTATCCCCCAGGTTACAAACTAGACTCCAAGGACAAAGTGAAATTTGAATTTCGTCTGAGATTCAAACCCTCCACCCTGCAAAGACTGAAAAAAATCGACCCCAAGGCCTACGACTATTACTTCCAACAGGCCCGATGTGACGTCCTCGACAATAAAGTCCCAGACATAATCTACGAGCGCCACAAACGCGAGCTGATTGGCCTGGGGGTCAGTGACATGTACCGAGTGATGCTGGAGAAGGATGTTCCTCGAGAAATAGTGGAATCGGAATATAAAAAGTACATACCCAAAGAGTGCATCAAACGCCACTCATTTTTTATAAAAAAACCCATTCACCAGGCGCTCTCCAAGATATCTGGACCAGATGCTTCATACGTGAAGGAGCAGTACCTCAATCAGTTCCAGATAATGGCTCCCAATTACCCTTACGAGGAGTACAAAGCCCTGATGGACAAGGGCATTCCAAATCCACCCTCGAGAGTTCTCTTACGAGTGAACTCTGTCGAAGTAACTTATTGTGAGACTGAGAATGGTCAGTGGACGTCTCTCTGTGCCATCGAGGACCTCTGCTTTGTCTCCATCAGACAAGATAGCACGGTGGAGGTTTCCAGGAAGAACGGTATCCCCTCTTACCTGAAATTCTCGACGAATGCCCTCCTGACGTCATTCGTCTCAGCCCTCGATGGTTACTACAGACTAGCAGTGAAGTGGACGTTCAATCTCTGCCGGGATGTCGTTACTCCTAGTCTGGAGAGATTACTGAAATTAAAATGTCACGGACCTGTTGGTGGTGAGTTCTCGTATGCTAAACTCGAGGAGAAACGCTCGAACAGGACTGGCACATTTATTCTCCGAGAGAGTGAAACAAAGTACAATGTTTACTATTTGGATGCTTGTGGCAAGGATTGCAAGCCCAGAACTCATAAGATTGAGCAGCTAGCGCCTGAGGAGTTCGTACTCTCGGATTCTGTCAAGGTTTATCACTCTCTGAGCCAGGTGATAGCCTCTCATCACGATCCAGAGGGCTCACTGTACCTCTCAGAGTGCCTTCCACCCTCTGAATACGATCGTTCCCCCCTGCTGATCTGTGCTGTGGAGGGAGTTGGTAGTGACGTTGCCGCGGATGAGGATGTGATTGCCTCGTTGCTCGAGGGTGATCCAAGATGCATAACACCCCAGCAGTTGCAGATTTACAAAGCCCAACCGTTCCCCAAGAGCTGTGAAAATGGAGAAGTCCGGAATTCACCCACGACCTTGTACAGAGCCATGTGGAGGGTAAAGAAAGGGAAGAAACTGGAGGCTGCCATTAAAGTGTTGAAGGAAGAGGAGTCCAGGCTGACGAGGGAATTCCTGCAGATGGCATCGAGGTGGGGACAGCTGAGGTCTGGCTCCCTTGTAAGATTGTATGGACTGACGGTGGCACCTGCTGTGGGAATGGTTATGGAGCTGGTGAAACATGGGCCTCTGGACGTCTACCTGAGGAATAATTCACCCCAGACTGTGAAAACAGTTGATCTGGTTGAAGCTGCTGCTGGATTGGCAACTGCTGTTTGGTGTCTGGAAGAAAGTGGAGTAGTTCATGGGAATATACGATGTCGAAAGCTCCTCGTTCATGCCCACACAGAGAACAGCTTCATCGTAAAACTCGCTGATCCAGGAATGTACAGTTATACACCAGCAGACGTCCACTGGTTGCCTCCAGAGTGTTATCTGAATCCAGATTCAGCACGCAGAAGTTCTCGAGCTGATGTGTGGGCCCTAGGCACTACTCTCTGGCAAATATTCTCGAGAGGGGCTATCCTTCCTAGCCATAGAGACATCGAATCAGTGAAAAAATTTTACGCCAGTGGAAAACGCCTCCCAATGCCCAATGGATGTCCTACAGACGTCTACAAGCTGATGACCGAGTGCTGGGGAGAACCTGAGAGTCTCCCGAAACGCCCACAAGCCATCATGAGAGATATTAATGGTATTCTTTATCAGGTGTACAACTCCAGGAGGACTCACTCTTACGCCACAGCCTTTCCCAAGCTCTTCAATGATAATTCAAGAATCGAGGATGATGATGAGGATTCTGAGGCTATTGAGAACAACTCATCATCTGATTGTGAGTCAAGAGCCAGTAGTATTTTTACAGACAGGACAAGTCTCCCGTGGGATGACCCAGATGACAGTGGACGATTGATTAGACTCTCAGAAACCGATCACGAGGCAGAGGAGGAGCTCTCAGCATATCTGGGCTGGTTGGCAGAGAACGGTGGAGTCGGTGCACCTCATGATGTGTCATCAACAGGCTCAGCCCACAATGGAGGACCCTTAGGCCAAATGCAGGGGATATTCGAGCTCGACGTCGACTGTAATGTTATTCTCCAGGGGAGGATCGGCCAGGGGTTCTATGGGGAAGTTTACAGAGGTACTTTAGAGAGGGATAATGGAAAGGATACTGAGCCTCAGCAGGTAGCTGTCAAGAAACTCAAAACTCGAGCCCTCGAGGCGGATCTCAGGGATTTTGAGAGGGAAATCGAGATCATGAAGACTCTGAAGCATCAGAACGTCGTGGAGATTCTTGGTGTTATTTCCGAGCCTGAGGTTTGTTTGGTGATGGAATTCGTTAAGCATGGATCTCTCCAGAGTTATCTCGCCATCCACAGGGAAACTCTCACTCACAAGAGACTTCTGGGATTTGCTCTGGACATTGCTACAGGGATGGATTACCTCGGGACGATAAGCATCGTGCACAGGGATCTGGCTGCCAGAAATATTCTCGTGGCTGATGAAAACAGGGTGAAGATAAGTGACTTTGGGCTGGCTCAGGTCACTGGGAAGAATGATTATTATATTCTTCAGACTAATAGGGATTTGCCCATCAAGTGGTACGCACCGGAGAGCCTCAGGGATGGCAAGTTCTCGTCTAAGTCTGATGTGTGGTCTTTCGGTGTGACTATGTTCGAGACATTTGGGCTTGGTGAAGATCCCAAACTTCCTGGAGTCAGGGGTACTGGAGAGAACGAAGAGGAGGGCTCAGCTGAACTCCTTGAGGCTCTCGAGAGAGGCACCCGGTTACCCTGTCCACCCAATTGTCCTCAGACTGTTTATGTTAAGCTCATGTATCCCTGTTGGCATCTTCAGAGCCATCAGCGACCTGATTTTGCCATGTTGTGTAATGATATTAAGGATTTAATGGGACAATACTGAGGGTACAATACTTGCCATTTAATTGACGATAAGAGGAAAACATTGAATGTTTTTTTTAAGGAGGAGAATTTCCATTTCTTTTCTCGGAGAAAAAATATTCATATGAGGTTTAAACTCGATGTGTAAAAAAGGTGAACAGGAAAGAATTGAGTGAATTTTTACGTAGGATTAATAGACTTGGGTGAGAGTGTTGCGGAATATTTATCGGGACATTCAGTGGTATTATGTCGTAGTCCGGTGTACATAAATAATGTTTTTTTTTTGTATTTTACACGCCACAGTGCACGACACTGCACAGATGACATAAATATAACAGTATAAGATAAAACAGAAACAATGTAAATAGCTGTAAACGATAGTTCATGATGTGAACATGATTTTAAATGAATACAGAATGTGTGACGTCTATTGATGGCTTTAATTTTGTGATAACTCGAAGGATATTGATAGGGAACACTCGTCGATGTCATCTAAACTATGACGAAAGAGTTGTGCGTGTTGCCAATATGCATCGCCACTACCACCAGATAAATCGGCAATGATGTTTATTCTTTTGGCATCTTTTAATGCACTTGTGCTCATGGGTTTCGAATTGTCCAGTGTTATTGTGATTGTTTTATTTTGCTGAGTTATTCCCTGAATTTTCCACTTTATTGAGGCACCGTGGAACAATGCCGTTGTCGAGGATATTTTGAAGCATTCTATTTGAAATTCCTCGGATTTATCACATATTTCGAAACTCCAGGTGATGCTCCCCAGGTCGACACCTGGACTTCTGCAAACGTATACCATCTGCCAGTCGTTTTCCACATTTCTGAACAGTCCTTTGGCTTTCGCTGTACCCTCTCGCCAGCCTTCCAGTTTCTCAAAAAGTTTACCTTCCTCATCTTGAATCTCGTAGTAATCTTTTACGAGGTACAAGCGCAGGAGGTAACTATTGATGCCTTCTGGAATTTTCCATATGTGGGATTTATTTTCGTCCTGGACAGTGAAAAAAAAATTCATATTCCCGAAAATTTAACAGTTGATGAAAATAGATTTATGAAGTGTTTACTAGTTTTACATGCTAGTATTTAATAAGAAAAATGGATTGTTCAGTGCTTGCAGTGAATTAACTTACTGATATTTCCCCTCGTGCACTTCTCCAGGCAGCATCTCCTGAAATCCTCCCCCCATACTCGTTATCATCGTTATCAGGCTGACCAGGTAGTCTGAGAAATTCCGCCAATTCCATGAGCCTCCTATTAACAACATATTTCTTCCTAACTTGACTGTATCCTGGATTACTCTGGCGTTTCTCATTGAGACGCCAGAGGAATTCAGCGAGGTCTTCCTCGGTGCATAAGTTTCTACGTTTCATCACCGAAGGCTGGTCCCTTGTGTAACGCCACGTCACGTCTTGAATTTCGTCCCTAGAATAGGCAATTATGTAGGATAATTTTTTCTTCCATCCTTTCTCGTAGAGGAGAGGTCGGTCTAGAGTGTTTTCGCAGGGATCTGCGTGAATCCATCTGTTCCCAGCAACTGACCAAACCTGCAGTAATAAAAAATTCTCAAAATCAAAAAACCACTGAAGTACATTTTTGCAGCCCTTGAAATTTCCAACAAAAAGATTTCCTCAAACTTTCTTCTAAGATCCATTGCTTGAATATCAATTGATATTTGATAAAATTGTGGAATTGGATTTATCTCACTGGATCATTGAATTAATTTCTCACCTCTGTCCACACGTGATCAGTCTTATCATGAACAAGTCTAGCATCATAAGAAAAAGCTCTGCAGATGAGGGTGAAGCAAGTGGCCCACTCCCCACACCGTCCCTTTCGATTGGCCAATACCATCCTAGGATTCGTATACCTCGGAAATTCCTCCTCAGTCTCACATGATTCGCATTTGTAAATTTCGATTCTCGAGACATTTGACCGCCGTTGGAACTCAGTCCTATTATACTTGCAGTTAGTCGAGCAGGAGCTGCACTTTATGGTGGTGAACCACGTGAAAAAATCATTCTTGAACCAGGCCATAAGCTCACCAAGCAGGAGATCCTCTATCCCCATATCATTTTCAATTCCAGTTTTCTCTTTTTCCGTTTCTCCTTCTGTCTCCTCCCTTTGTTTCAGATCTCTTTGCAGTGCTCTCATGCGCTTCATTGCCCGCAATTTGAGATCTGTGATAGGCACCATGTGACGAGTCATTTCCTGGAGGTCTTGATCTTCGTATTCCAGGACGCTGTCAAACATATTTTCAATTTGCTGCAGGAAATTTGGTACTGGGGGATCCTTTGGTCTTGCTCCCGTTGATTTTACTGCTGGAGCTGCTGGTTGTGGTGAGGATATTGGCTTCTGGGTTTGGATTTCTCGCAGAAGACGTTGGATCTCACGTATTCGAGGCAGTGGACTGTCTGTTGGCAGTGAGAAAAATTCTCCATCCTGCAATTTAGAGAATTATTCAGCCGTGAACGAGAGATATTGTTCTATTATTTGGTGGAACCTTTGTCTTTCCACTATCGTATATTCATTTATCTATCTCAAACTTTTGTTCGAGTGATGAAAAGGTAGAGTGAGGTCAGTCGAATTTTACCGTCCGTTAGATTTCGATTATTATAAAAACTATTGATTTTAGAATAAAATGTCAAACGACTTTTTTGTCGACAATTTAATCAGCTACTAAAAATTTCTTTAAAGTGTTCATCATAGATCGAAAGTTTTCATGGCGAATCTCATTGACGACTGAATTAAATAAAATATTCCAATTATATTTAAATCTGTACAAAAATGAAGAAAATTTGAAAATGTCTAGATATAACTCCCATCATGTCAATCACTGCATTTTATTATTACAGAGTTGACTAGTAGAAATTTATCTAGAGAAATGTTTTTATTTTCAGAGATAAATATGAAGATGATGAATAATTCATATCACTGGACTAAACTGCGTACTTGGTATCTTTGACAAATCCATCGATTAAAAATCTATAAATATCCATTCGGATTTGTCTTTGAGTCTCGGAATTAGGGAATGTAACCAAAATTATTGTGGACTTACTTCCTGAAATCCAATTTCAAAGAGGCACTCGACAGCTCCATTAGCCGGAAGTAATTTTTCAGCAATCACTGGATTAGCAACTCTAATTCTTCGATACCTTGGCTCCTGTGGATTTTTAATAATATTCTCACAGAGCTCCCAAAGTACATGTAGTGCATTCTTCTTGATTTCACTGTCATTCTCGTGGAGTAACTTCAAACAATTTCTCAAACTACTGTCCATGGTGGATAAATATTGATAAACTTGATTTTTCAAAAAATCAATCAACAACAAATAACAGCCACGTCACTCTCAGACAGATGGATTTTCACAAGTACATGTTTCAATCCCGATCGACTTGCTCACGCCTGTGGGAGACTACCAATCCCTGTTTTACCGGTGGAGTATTCATATTTTTAAAAGCCACAGCCGACGTAATTATTGATTGAATTCCACTGTGTTTTTAAAAACCTCCTCTCCAATTACAATTTCACATTAGCACGCTATGAGAATAATCCATTAAACCATTGCCAAGTTGAATCTTCGATGGTATTAATTCTAAAAAATGATTATATCATTGAAAATCCCAATTTTCTCGAATGAACCCGATACCCAATTAATTCACGCCCAATTAACGGAGATTACGAAACAATAACGTTTCAACAAATAAATTTCATTGGCAATAAAAAATCATTATTGCATCAGTATACAATCTAGAAAAGCCATTAAAAAATTACATATTTAAACTTTTTGTAAAATACAGTGATATAAAAATATAATTACTAGAACAAAAGGACAGAAGAAGAAATCTCTAATTTTTCAATATGAAGACAGAGCACATATTAATCAATTCGTCATTGAAGGAGAGAATTGGATCATCAGGGTAGCTCTGGAAATTGAGGTAATCGAGGAGAAGTCATTGAATAACGCGAGTTATCAATTGAGAAGTGAAAATAGTCCGAAAAGGCCACGTAAAAGCATGCCGATACAATCTCCATTTGGGTTGGCCTCCATAAAGTTACCAGGGTATTCTGGAAAGTGCAGGCGAGCACCCAATAAACCCTTATCGTACCCTCCCAAAACCACGTATCCACCCCCTTCCTCCCGACCACCCCTACCCTGACGTTAACAAATGATATCCACGTGTACGAGGCGTCATCTCAATAAAACGTCCCCACGAAACAGAAGGCAAGAGGTATTTCTGTTTTACCACAAGAGTTTCAACTTCCAATCCAAGAAATGGAATTATCCCATAGACAGATGTCTCAGGGGTTGAAAAAGTATCCCGAGGCAGCAACTTCATAAATTCTACCCCTCACTCCAATAATTTCAAATGCAATAGACGCTGAAGGCGTCTGAAATCTACTGGCAGGAGGCGTTTGAATTTAGGTCATCCAAAAGATCTCAGATTTCTCGAGGTACGTGGGTTGAAATTCACCCAACCAGTGGAGAAAGGGGGATGAGACTACGTTCCATCAGACCAACACTTGCTCATGTCTCACTTGAGGCTCTACTTTGTATTCAGACGGTATCTTGCATCACAAAGGGCTTCACTCCAATTTCATTGGGCTTTTCATTAACGAGATAATTGCACCGATGGTTTTCTCCGAAAAAAAAAAAAATAATACCCCATCCCCATTGCATGAGACCGAACGAAAATCGAAGGAGGCATTTTCTTTTGATGAAGATGATGAAGTAAATTCAAGTTATTTTTCCTTTTTTGCTCGGGTTTTTTTTTCATCGTCGTATTGGAAATGGAAAAAGGTCGATCGTTATTGAGGACGGGTACGTGATGCCTGGCCCTCTTCAAGTTACTCCTTTTGTTGCGACGTACATCCGCAATACAGATCGAACGTTAATTCCATTTGATCGTCGGTACCAGAGTGATTTGGCCGGGAGAATTTGTTCCAGCTGTGGTATCCAAAGAGCTATTGTTTTGCGAGATACTGGTGAGGGAAAATAAATATTGAGGCGAGGGAAGACGGTTGTCGGGGATAAATAGGTTGGGACAATTGTATCAAATTCTATGGGCTGTCTCTTCGAGTGGAAAGTATCTTGGGGTCGTTTAAAATAGATAGGGGTTGAGTACTGCACGGAGATAAATTTTTAGATAAATTGCTCTGCACTACAACCGAACTTGCTTTAAACGATCTTCCTGACATTTGTTAAGAATGGGGAAGAATATTCTGGCCACTCCTTTCTATTTGTACACGTTCAACCATTTTTATTAAAAATCTTGGAAAAATTACCAGTGGTGTTGGTATTATTACTAATTTACTGGTGAGATTTTGTGAACTGAATTCTAAGTGTCTGGGATAGTAAAGTTTACGAGTTGTTACACAGAGGAAAGTTTTTGGAAGTTAGAAAAGAAGTTTCTAGATTCACGAAAACTATTCCCTTGACTCCGCAAGACTTATTTTTGATTTCAGAGAAAAATTTTCTCGATTCAGGAAAATTTTCACGCATGCCAGAAAAAAGATTTCTGGATTTGTGAAAGTTTTGGAATTGAAAAAACTGTTTTTTTTTTATTCTGGAAAGCTCTTGTCTGACATGGGAATTTTTTTCCTCAATATCAAGAAACTTTTTCTCTCTGTGCAGTGTTTTCGCGGTATCCCAGCTGAAAATGACAGAGAAGGTCTCTCGCAATTTTGTAATGCAGTAATTCCAGGGAAATTCAGCAGTACTCTCCCGTTTCAGTGCGCTGCGCAAAAATTTGTATCTAGATTTTTCATTATTTCGTTTGTACGAAAAAGTAGTGCAGCCAGAGTAATTTTCTTCGTGTTTTGCCGTAAATTTTGCTGGGAAATGCTGTTTCAACCGAGTTTCAGGTGCTGGGGCACTAATTTTTCTCCTCTTTTTACTCCGCGTATGAATTCATAAAATTTTACTAGCACATGCATGTAGAAAAATTGATAGTAAAACTTATCCTGACGTAAAAAAGTCCGCAATATTATGTGAAGCTTTTACTCCAAAACATTGTCTCTCTGCTTCATACAAAATTACATTTCTTTCTAAAATTGAAAGACAAAATAATGATCGATTAAATGAAAAGTCAGCGTGAATTCCACCACAAATTATTAAATAATAATTATTAAAAAATTTCCGACAGTATCCAATACCCCGGGGGTTCCAAAAAAAAAAGATAAATCATGTTGAGTCACTCAAAATCTAAATTTCAGTAGTAGTCTTCATTTTCGACATTCTCCATTCCTCGGCAAAACCGGGAAGATGTACGAAGGGATTTACTTCCCCCCGAAGTATCTGCAATTAGCACTCCATATAATTCCGAAAAATCTGTAAACTTTGAACTTAGAAGTCTCCCGATTAAATTTCCCCTCCGACATAAATTTCATTCCAACTCCTGAAAAAGATGGCCATGTTTACCCTTAATCTCCCGAAAATATTTCCAAGATTTTCGTAACATGGGGATCAAAAGCCGCAATGCACGATGCGCCAGCCGCAAAACCAACCTCAGTGTGGTATCCTCATCCGTCTTGTAGATTGCCCACCCCCGCCTTTATTAGCAAAACTCTATTACAACCCCCACCGCCTTACAAGGAATTCCAATTGGCCATATAATTACATCCCCAACTTTTCAACATTTTTCCCACTCCCGAAACCCCCACCCTCAATTACTAGAACTAATTATCCCAGCTTCCGCGACTTCGTAAAACGCAAAAAGTAAATTCATTAAATTCCCCGCGATTAGCGTGAACTAGTGCAGGTCGTAATACCCCAGAAGACAATTGACGTTTGTGTAAAAATTGCAGTGAAATTTTATTAAAAATCCGTCAAAAATCCATCCTCCAATTTCCATCCGATCACCCGAACTGGTCTTGCCACTCAAAAAAAAAAAAATGCTTTGATGATCCCTCACCGCGGTGTGTCAAAAAAATTAATGAATCCACTTGTTCCCTGCTGCGGAATGGCGGAAAAAAATTTGGAAAATGTCGACAAAGAATTCTTCCTCTGGAAAACCGCTCGGCTGATTTTTCATTTTTTTTCAACCCCTTGAAAAAGGCGAAAAAAAAAATAAATAAATAAAAAGAAAATCCCAATATAACGAACTTTCGTGGCAGGGATGGACACTGAATGCTGCGTGAGAATTTTACCGCTCATGCGCCCCACACCCCTCTACCTCGCTCAGCGCCCCCCTCCTCCCACCGACCTCCCACCCCCGGCGAATGCCAGTGGGCGAACCCCCCCCAGTCTGGGGGTCGGGGGGTGGCATCGCCTCATCGCATCTCGCGCTCCAGTCTCGCTCGAGCCTTCGACCACGCAATTAAGTGAAAATCCGGATTCACCCCTCAACCCGATAATAACCCGCGCACTCCCTTCAACAATAACAATTTATTACATTTAAATAATTCCCTCACAGCAATCGATAAAGTGCACCCACATTAAACCAGTGATAATCGTTTCATCAATTTCTTAAAATAAATAGTGATAATTAATAATATGGAATAATAATGAATAATGAGGAATAATGAGGAATCATGAGGGATCATGAGGAATAATAAGGAATAATTATGAATAATTATGAATAATAAGAAATGAGAGTGAACATGATGGGATAATGAATAATTTAAGGAGTGGACACAGTGAATTCGATTAATGTATAATCGAGTGATCAATTTGTTTAATAGGATTTGAATAATAAAACCAGCAATACAAAGTTAATGAGCCCCCGTGGATATTGAGGAATCTTGAAGTGCGGTGTTACAGTGCAAACGTTGGTCGTCATCGTCGTAAACACAATCGAACTCCATTGGACAATTTAATCGCCCAATAAACAGCCAATAACCCCATTAATTCACCCCTGGAACTTATCAAGGGATAAAGCCGTCGTACGATCAGACACGTCCGACCCTCATATATCCTGGTGTGTTTATTTACGTGAGTGCTGACTGCACGGGTGCGTGACAACGAGAAATCTACGAGTACGCCCTATCCCGAGAATGAACCTATCCCCCGATAACTGGTAATTCATTACCCAATTAACGTAATACATTAACCAGTAGATATCCCACGACATCAAGGCAAATTCACCACGATATTTTAACGATAATACTTCATTTTTTGGGGGATAAATCGATAGTAATTGAATGTCACATCCGCGGCACCTGAGCCACAAATGTGACTAACAAGTTGCCGATCCTGTGACTTGGAAACAATTACAAACTTCTGGGTAGGGGGGGGCAGTTTAAAGGTGGAAGTTAACGTTCGTTGGCCATGGGGGACAGGGGTAAAGGGGGTGGGTAAATGTGTCGTGAAGTATCAGTGAAAATTTAACGGGAATTGAGTTTGAGGTGGTGCGGTGAAATTTAGTGGGGGTAAAATTCATCGATTGTGGTTTACCTGTCCCTCAGGTCCCTAGGGGGTGACGATGAAAATTGTGATGGGGATGGTGATGAGGATAGAGATATGGCGATTTCTCGTGGCGTCAATCTGAGACTGGAGATAATTTTATAGTGGAAATAGAGAACAACTCGGGGTGAAAAGTGTTGGGGGAGGTGAGGAATGAGAGCTGATGAAAAATGAGGGGTTTACTGTTCATTCTGGGGCTTCTGTTCGCTGGTAAGTCACTGAGAATATTTATGTTGATCTTCACGGGGGAGGGGAATTTTGGTGGGAAATTAGGGGGTGGTTGGGTGGTGGGGTGGTACTTCTCGTTTAAGTGGGATTTGTTGCCTCAAATGGATCGCATTTGCTCACTCGGTTGCGTCAATCCCGGGTGGTTATTATTTGCCTGGGGGTGGAGGTGTAATTCGATACGTTTTCCAATGATCAATTGGACCCCTGATTGGGGAGTCTGGTCAGTTTGGCAAATGTGATAGTCATGGTGCACCGGGATATTCATTAATTAAGCTGCCTACAGCACTCCTGTTTCGGGATACGCTTGGGTCTCCGGTGTTTATGACACTTTTTTCTCGTTTCGATTATTGCTTCGGGATTTGCGGGGAAAGGGGCTCATTATCGTGATGTGTTAATTAAAGTCTGGGTTTTGGACATGGAGTGTCGGGGGTGTTTCGTGGGTGTGGTGTTGCCTGAGGACTTGGCAGGTGTTTTCAGGGGTGAAATTTCGGGGGTAATGAGAGGGAAATTTGGAGGATCACCGGTTTTTGTGGAGAACAGGGAAATAACTTCTTTGAGTTCTTTCTTTTAGTTAGAATAGTTTGTTCAAATAGAAATTCAATGTTTTGGAAATACCAGTTTTTCGGCCGGTCATTGATTCATGATTTATTATTGTAGGATATTTAGGGCAGTGCGGGTTTTTTTTGAGTGTCAAGTTGTCAAGTAGATTTTTTTTTGTTGCGTCGGGAGCTGTGCGGTATTGAGAGGGAAAGTCAGAGGATTATCACATTTCATTGAACATTTAACAAAATTTACACTGACGTTTCGTAATAGACATTTTTTGAATCAAAAATCGCAGTAGAAATTACGCACTGCGCAGTCAAAATTGCGCATAAAATTCGAATTTTGTTGGAGTGGCAGATTATTTTATCAAATATTAACACGAATATCTCTGTGATGATATCAATAATAATTATCATTGACTCATTATTACACAATGTTTAGGCCGATGGGGGTCTTGTAATTGTGAAGTTTTTGGATTTTTTTTTCATGGCGTGGGGTTGAGGAATACGGAGCGGAAAATTTTAACGATCATCGGTTTTTCGTCGCACACACGGAGCCAAATATTTAATAAAATTTACTCTGGCGTTTTGCAAGTGACCATTCACGAATTATTCACCAGAAATTGGGGAAAAGGGGTTCTCGATAGAATAGTTTCTCAACATCTCAATTACGATTTAATTGTTTATAACTCAAGAAATTATAAATCAATGAGAAATCCAAGAGAATCTCGTAAAAAAAATTGAGAGAACGGCTTTGTTGCTATTTGAATAAAATGGGATTTTTACGGTGTAATAAAATGATATTATTATTATTTAGTATGATAGCAGACAAACGTGTTGTTGAAACATAATAAATTAATGAGGAAATTAAGGTGAATTCCAAAAGCAATTGCTTGTTACAGTTATGGGGAAACTCGGAAATAAAGAGTTTTTATTTGAATTTTAGACAAACAGGTAGTGGTAGTTGCGGGCTTCTGCATTATTTAAGAATAAGCTGAATTGCTGAATGAGTATCAACATGAATTCACTCCAATTTTCAGTAGTAATACCACAAGTGCTTCGAGCATCCCGTTCATTTTAGAGTACGAGTGGTATTATAGTCGGATTATTTCTCCATTCGGATTCTGCACGATTAGACTACAGTATTCCGATTGGAAACAACATTGGGCGTGAATTTTCCAAGCGTCAAACTATCAAATTTTGAAATATCATATTCCGAATTTTGCATTCAACTTCAGCTCCCGAATTTTTCGTTTTTAATCTCGCAGAAAAATTATATAAATATTAAATAAATAAAAATAAATATTAAATTATATACTCGTCTCGATAATATTATTTATTTCATGGACATAATTGCAATTAGTGCATGGAAAAAAAGGTGAATATTCCATTGCTTTTCTGTGCAAATCCTGTGCAAAATTCACGAAAAGTAAAAAAAATCGGGAAATTTTTTGACAATTCCATAAAAATTCTTCCGTCCATGGCAGTTTCAAGCGGAAGATCAATTCAAACTTTTAAATATAAATATTATAGAATATATATTATTATAGAATATATATTTCTATAAATATTATAGAACTGACGGTTTTGATTGATTACACCTACAAAAATTCTAATTTTCCACGAAATTCCAACTACTAATTATTTATCATCCATCAATGAAGCTTTAATTTTCTCATTTCGCGCCATTGTCGAGATCCTTACGTAATTTCGTGTAGAAACTCGGAGGATGTATCATTTTCCTGCTAAACCAATTGTTCCCAGAGAAGCTGTTGAGTTGAGGGAGAAACTCCTCTTATTGTCTACAACTAAATTGATTCATCACATCAAGAGCCCTTTTCAGTGAAACATATTGTCCGTATTCCTGACAAAACCCAATTCTTCTCTCCACCTAAATTCCGCGAAAACTTGTTGAAATAAATCTTTACTATAGATTCATTGAACTGTCGGGGCAGAATGGACTAACACCCCACGAAGCTACAGGTTCCCGAAAAAAAACGCCAACTCATTTTTCTGAATTTATTTCTCATTGCATTCGAGCAATTTACTCACCTTTATTTATCGGGTTATTATTTCGAAATTCATGGAACGTAATCACCGTAACGAGCTCATTTATACGTGAGTTACTTCGGGAATTAATTAGCATAAATAATCGTCCAATTATCTAGATCATCTAATTAATTTATATTTTCCCGAAATGTTCTGAATAAAAATGAGAAAATTCACGCATAACAATTGCTCTTTGTAATTCGAGTACTCAATTTTTCATTTATTATTTTGCTATTCATAAGACGTAATTACCTTGACAAGCGAATTCACCAGTGTCCAATAATGGAGACCATTCAATCAATACAAATCCTCTTAAAATAGTTTTTTTTTTCACAAAAAAAGCGAATGCAGAGTGGGTGACAATTGACCGTTTAATATCGAACTTTCGTTGAAATGGTTCAGTGATAACATCCGGAATGTGTTTGTAGTTTCATGTACCAATTCACCGCAGCAATGGAGCGTTTGTTAGTCATTCCATTTGTTTGAAACAATGAGCTTAGGTAGGAATTGAAAAAAAATCTAATTGTCCATTATTTTCCTGGAAGTTTGGGGAATTTCTGGGAGAGAAGGCATGCCAGTCATCCGATCTCCTCCCAAGCCATCAACCTGCAAAAGAGTAGATAAAATTCATGTAAAATTACGACTCCAAAAAATTTCGAATTTTGTCAAAGACTTTCGTTTTTTGTTATCTTTTTTATTTTTATCTGAATTTTTATTTTTATTTTTAAATTACCGTACCGCCGGTGAATTTCAAATTTCCCCATATACCTCCGTAATCGGTAATTGCACATCATATGTTCCATAATAATAAATATCGTTTGTTTATAATTCCATATTATACTGCATGGAAATAAAAATAAATGCAGATGCAAAAATATCTGAAATATAGGTTTTTTTTCATTTAGATTATTGAGATTATGGTGAAAATATGATTCCGTGTTTGAAAAAGAACAGTTCTCATTCAATACTGTTTAATGATTTTTTTTTGTTGGACTGTCAATTAACTGGTCATGGAGGATAATGATTGCAATTTATTTGAGTATGAACCTGACAATGTGCAGGGATTTCATAAACATGAGAATTGAAGGAATTCCATGTTCGTTCTAGGGTTATGGAGGGATTATTCATATTCATTGATGTGAGCACTCCAAGCTCAGTTCAATGAATAGCATTTGGAATGGATATTTTTCATTAGAGGGGAATCCTTTTGACCTTTTCATAACATCTACTCGATTCATCCCTTCGTATGCGCTCTCATTGTATTGTACAATATCCCGGGGAGTCGCTTAAACATGCAATTGTCCGTTCTTTGATCCTCGATGTTAACGATAACAATGGAAAAGGAAAAATCTGGAACTCACACTGATTATTTTATCTGTTTGGTTCAGTCCAGGGACCTGCTCGTTGCAATAACGATGAGGACAATCATGAGGATCTCGAACTCGAGCCACTCGATCGTGGACCCTACTTCGATATATCGGCTTCTCAAAATGTCACTGCACTCGTTGGAAAGTCTGCTACGCTCAAGTGTCGTGTCAAGAATTTGGGAGACAGAACGGTAAGAGCATTTTCTCATTTTTTATTTATTATTTTTTTAATGTAAGAACAAAAGTATACCCCAATTAACATTAATATTCTACATTTGATTTAAGTATATGTAAGTTATAGTCAATTAGTAGAATAATAAAATTATTTCAAGCAGATTTTATTCTTGATTCAAGTACTTTTTATCGTGTGGTTACTCGCGTCATTTCACCAGAAAATTATCCGGAAATCGCTCGTCGGAACCGCAAATTTCCGTCGGTCGTAAATGTTTTTTCAAATAACTTCAGAATTTTTGCTGTGTGCGATTCTTTCACTCGTGGTATAATTAAAAATTCAGATTTACCACACGAGTAGATACATTTCATATAATGATTATTTCTTATGTAATAATTTTGCTGTTGGTTTTCTCTCCATTATTTTTCTTGCTTTTATGGAAATGTCGAGCTTGCTGTGTGTTAATTGGTAAATTAATTCCCGTGTTGTTTCTCATTATTCAAAACATAAATAGACATTCCGCGGGAAGAATTTCCTGGAACAAATTTTCCCACGAACAAATCTCCACCTCTACAATAAAATCACCTCGAGAAGGGAAATGATCAGCGGTAGATTACGATTTTTCCAGTTTTAGCCCCGAAGTTTTCAAAAGAATATCCCTTCGTGCCGAATAAGAAAAGCACGTAGAAACGTGATAATAGCAGTTGAGAGTGAATTATTTCATGCAATTTCACCGGGAAATTATTCTCCAAGAATTGTTGACTGAAATGTCATAATTTTCCATTGAAAACAATAAGACTTCTTCAATAATTCCCAAAACTCGTGTACCAACTTTCGAGTTCAAACTTTATCTCTCCCCTTTATCATTAAAAAATATATATTTTTATAAATCGAGTTCTATTGCTCGGTGAATTCACTTATAAAACTCGGTTCTTCTAGTCTGGAAAAAAGTTTCATCTACCGAATACTATTTTCTTGAGCTGTAGGGAGAGGTAGACGAATCGATTTCATTATCAATTCGCATCTGGGAGCATTTCAAATGGCCCCGCGAGTTTTCACAGTAAAGTTTTTTTTTTTTGCGGTAAACTTTCTCACTGACTGATACGTTGTGGAGAAATCAGAAGTTTAGAATAAAGAATTACGTTTGAAAATGGCGGTTGATTCTCAAGTGGAGGAGCAGACGGAGAGGATGAGTGGATGCTTGAGTAAAGAGATGCGAGCCCTGACGAGTTTATAAGGAGAATGCCCATTTACCTTTATTCAACGTCATTCTAAAAATATTTCAGCAACTCACCCGGAAGTGAGAGAAAGAACTCCTTTATTCATACATTTTTGATAAATTAATTCTGGAATTTGACAGACGGGAGTTTGAAATTTCCAACAACCAAAAATTTAACAGTCCACAAGACAATAAATACTTGATTCAATTACTTAATTGAAATTGAATTTTCAATATCATTGATGATTTCACCATGAGGTTGAGAATACTCCGACAGCTGAATCAGGACTGAAATAAGTAGCAAGAATAGATTCTTGAAAAATTACTCCTGAATTAAGACCATCAATTTAGAAAAATCCGTGAATATACAAAAAAAAAAATACAATTCAATGATAAAATAAAAATAGTCACATCTAAAAAGACTCGCTAGGACTTTCTAATAATACGATAAAATTCGACTGATTCTGCTTGTATAGAACTGAATGAAATTTCTCTTAAAAGCTCTTTCACTTGTGGTTTTGAAAAATGATTAAAAAATAAATTGCATCAAGCCAAGCTTACAAATGGAATATTTGAAGCGTTGAAAGTACACTGGACTGAGGGGAAAAGATAGTGTGCATAGATGTGGACCATGAAATAAAGATCAAATACCCTCAGAGTTCCTTTAAGAAGCCACTAGTAGTTGATGTTGACTTTAACGTTTTCCAAGATCGTCGTGAGAGGATAAATATGCAATATTTATTTGAAATATTTATGTAGGTTGTGAGGCTGAGTATCAGCTCGGTGCTTTCGCACGTATGGAAAAAAACCCATTGCCATTGCAACTACGTGAGAAATCATTCAGGTGGTTCTTGGAACACAGGGTGGCCTGATATAATCGTAAAAAGAGGATCGTATATCTCAGGTTCACTCGTGGGAACTGACACGAGTTGAATGCCGGCTAAAAGAGTTTACTCAATATTTATCGTGACATTTCGATATGCAGGAGATAGTTTTTTTTTATCCTTTTAAAAGAACTTCTTAGAACAGAAAATTTAAAATGGGGAAGTGGAAAGGGGAGAATACGGAAATTGCCGCTGAAAACTGTTCTATCGGAAAGTCACGGAAAATTTCCGATTCCGTTTCGTATGGAGATCTTATTCTTCGATCTTTACCTCTCGAGATAATAGTTGACGCGAAAGCTGAGTGCGCCTTACATCGATGGGTTTTCCGCAACATTTTTTACAGAATAATTGAATTTTAGAAAAATATTCTAGAGTTTTCCACGGACTTGTAATTCCCTCAGCCACATCGCGCCATTGATGAGAGAAATGGAAATTGGGTTAATAATTAACCGAGAATTTACAGTCTTCATCGATTGAGGCATTCCTAAAATTTTGACGTTTCAATATCGAAATATCAATTCGTGATGATTTTTGCAAAAAATGTCAGAAACATATTTGTTAAAATATAACGGGGAAATTTTGTATAAAATGATAAAATGAGAGCAATACAATGAAAATCACTTACTAAAGTAAATACTTTATCGAATTCATCTCACTTGAGTGTTTACTGATGCTTTTACCTTCTCCCCAGCATTATTGTTTCCACTTCCAAGGATATTTTCATCGGTCTATCAACGAGTCACGTTTCAGGGCAGTAATTTGAACGATCTGAATTGAAAGCACTCCTTGGAAACTCGCTTGGGTTTCGTATAACCCACCCCCTAGCTCCACCAAACTAATTCTCCATTCATGTTTGTGCACCATTTGTGACTGCAATTCATCGTTGGGTATGTACACCGCATTATAGTAATCCCTCGGCTAAACAAACTTTAGATGCAATAAGTGGTATACTTGGAAAGTTTGTCACAAATGGTATTAAACGATTTGCTATTTTATTTCTACACCGTGGAGCTCCATTCGGTCCTATTATCCACTGTTTCAACAGTTGATCAACATATTAAATCGAGATTTACAGGGTGTTGTTTGGGAGATTACGGAATTGGGTTGCCAAATAGTGATCATTATATCACGCTATTTGGAAGCGTCCAATCCGCGTGTAGGAATTAATTGCTGTGTTGAAAATAACTGCGTGCGTAAAATAGACAATGTGGATAAAAAGTACATATAAAATATATTGGAAATTTATTGTAATTTTAGTATATATTTTAGCAATTATTTGGGTGTATTTTTATTTCGTTTATTCGTAATTTAGATTGGGGTGTATTTTTATTTTGTTTTTTCGTAATTTAGTTTGGGGTGTATTTTTATTTTGTTTATCTCGTCATTTCTATTTTTTAATGGTTTTAAGGTTTTAAAAATTTGATTGTATTCAATATCGAATTTTTATGATAAAAATGAAAATTCAAGTTTTTATTAAAAAATCAGTTACCATTGAAAATGAAAGGCCCGATTTCCTGGATTTTTTGATGGAATTTTCAAAAATTAGAAATTTAATTAAAAGTCTTATAATTAGAAATTCAGACGATTTCTTGACTGAAGTGTCAAGAAATTTTGAACAATGCGCGTTGAATTGAATAAAACCGAATTTATATGACTTATTATAAAAATCAAATACTCTCAGAAACAAATAGGCGCGAGAGGAAAAAATTACTAATTTAATGTCTTGAAAGGTTCAACTCATTTAACGACTCCAATTTTCTACATTCCATAAATAATTTCACACAAGATGAGTGTAAAAAATAACTAAACATTTCCCTCATTATTCAGAAAATAATTTCCACGTATTACAATACGTCAATCGTCTTTTCCTGCGGTTTAAGTTTCACATATAATTTTTATATATGTAGTGGAGAAAAGCTCTGATGGTCTAGACGGGATTCTCGGATTGTAAATACAATACAACTGGACAGAATAAATCCAGACAGAAAATGTCGCGTCATTTCTTTAATAAAAGATGGCACGAAATTGCTCTTCTCTCGGATGATAAGACAGAAAAAGTTCCCTCGACTCATATTGCGTGGAATATTCAAAAAAATATTCCCCAACTCCCCAAGGCCATTAATCATCTGGACAGGGGAGTACAATAATTATATACATATGATGAGGCTGGCCTAATGCTCTGGCATTAAAGCCCCAACGGTGTTTCAATATCCAGACAGGTGTGGCTAATAAATCTGGACAATCTGACACACATATCCAAAGTAACGTAAAATGGAATCATCAGTTAGACAAGCCATACAACCACCTAGATATCCAAAAAAGCTATTTACACCAGCGAGTACTCACACGAGGGCATATTCACTCTCGGTATTTAATCAGTCTCCACTTTTTTCTCATTCACGTCAACTGACCCTTCATCCAACATTTATTAAAATGTTTAATGAAAGTTTTTACCCCGATACTAGGAAATTACACTTGAAATTTCCAATAATACTCTTGAAATTTTTAATAACGACAAAATTACGTTGAAAATAATTTCCCGTAATTCCATTGACGCGTAATTCAATAAAGTTTTTCATTCATTTCAAGTTTGTATTTATTTCTTAAAAACATTATTAATAAATGTCCACTCAAGGACATAAGTTAATCTCCAATGTAATCAGATAACAAAGGAAATAAATTTAGATGGAAATAAAAATGGATTGCTCATTCCATAAGATTTCTCGAATCAAGAGATCAGTTTTGTTGAATCTACAAACTTTTTTCCTCTCATCAAAAAACTTCATCTCTTATTTCTATCTCCCGGTAATATTACCGAAAAGGAAAAACATGAGCTGATAATCGTGAAACGTGTAAAAAAGGAATGAAATAAATCTTCATAACGCTGGCCCTACAAGAATATCAAAAACCGTTGCG